GGCTCACCGACCAGGCCAGGCCAGGGTGGGAAGGACCAGGGGAACTGGGTGAGGCAGGTCTGTCCACATCCCCTGTGGGGTAGCCCAGCAGGACGAGTTTTTCCACATCTAATCATTAATGTGTTATCAAATTATCTCAGTGAGGGTGGTTCAGGCAGGAGGTGTCTGGGGCAGTTGAGTGCAGAGGTGAAGACCATGTGTTTAGTCACACGGGTTTGGGTTTGTGTCCTGGTGGTGCCACTTTCAGCTGAGTGCTGTGGCCAAGTTTGTGGGCTCCCAAATCTCATCTTCTCTACCCTAGAATAGGAAGGAGAATTCCAGAACCTACTTGAGAGCGTTGTTGTGTTAGTATTACATGAACTACTTAAATAAACTCACACATAGCAATCACTCAGTAAAAGGAAACTGTTAATTATTAATGACTGTCATTATCTGAGAAGCATCTCAGAGCCATGCATACTCCGTGCAGGCAGCTGCGGGGTGACTGCTTTTCAGGGGTCACGGTGCTCCTACATTGCGTGCTAGGATCCTGGCAGAAGTAGGGCCCCACCCAGGAGGAGAATGAGCCGGTAAAGTAACTGCAGTATCCAATACCACGGCCCAAAGAGCACAAATGCCGCCGTCTGTCTTTGAGCAGCCCAGGAAAGACCTCCGGACAATTTCTTGTGGTCACTTATCCCAACATTGGTACTAACTCAGGAGACTATCGTGACAATTTAAGCCAGCACAGGACAACATTATCACAGGGCTAGAAGAAGCCCCTTAGCTGGTCAGGTCAGCTCTGTCCTGAGAGACAGTAGGGCCACTGATTACTTTTCATCAGCAAACTCATCACCTCCATGGCAGTGTGGTTGCCTGCCCACAGAGAAAATCCTGAATAGAGGAGGCAGTTCTGGCTGGTTTGGCGATCTCCTAGAGACAGAAGTCATTTCCAACAAGACACTTCTCTCACTAGCCTCAAGAGGAACACGAGGCCAATAAGCACCTGCAGATACATGCATGGAGAGAAGTAGGTTGGTTCTTGGAGTAGAAACTTCCGTCCAGCTGTGAGTTTCCAGAGTAATTTGTATTTCCTTGAGAGTTTACTGAGGAAATACAACACAGAAGAGAGAAGGCTCTGGATGAGCACAGTTCAAATCCTGATTCTAGCCACGTGACCTGACTCTTCATGAGTTTCTGCATTGATATGATGGAAGCGAGAGGACTCAGGAGGGCTGAGGGAAACGTGATGGCAGCAGCAAACCTTTGAGAGAACATCATACACCAAACACTGACTCAGCACTTTACATGTATTCATTGACATACTGCTCACAAAACACTAGGGGAAAAGTTCAGTAGTATACGTCCATGTATGGATAGGGATTCTGAAACACAGAGTGGTTGAGAAACTTGCCCAAGAGCCACACAGCTAGCAAGTGACAGAGCAGGCACCCTAAACAATGGGTCCACACCCTTCACCACGGTGACGAACTGCCCCTTGCACGTGAGATAATATTAGGAAAAGGCTCCTATTAGTGCCAAATATAAAGCAGTTAATGAGTGTTGACTATCATTATTATATCATTAGTCCCCAGCATAGCACATAGTGACTGTAAAGTGTCCTAAGGATTTTAAGAATTTTAAACAGTTTGAGCACCCAATCCATGTATGCTCTGGGCTAGGGCTGATGATTTTCATGCTCTCTTTTGGCAGCATGCACAGTTTTGCTTTCTTTATGAAAATATTTGTCATTTTTCTTAAAGGGTCACTTGGAAAGAAGGAGTAAGTGAATCAGTGTCCATTAAAACTGGGTTCCATCACTCACTACCCAAAGACCTCGTACCTTCTCTCATATTCTCTATTTCCCAAAACAGATAGCATGACCATGAAATGCGATTGTCCAAAGAATTCTCTTAGCACTTAGTAAGTTCTTCGTACAAGTCCACTGTCAGTATTGTTACCCCCACCATGGCCCAACTAGTTAGAAAAGGATTGCTGAGCAGCATGGCCAGGATTAAAGCCCACGTCTCCAGGCACTTAATGTAATTCTCTTTCTATAATACAGTTTTGCTTATGAGCCCCTTTCTCCCCAGAAAATTATCATGACTCTGGCTTGGCTCCAAATTTAAAACTATATTTTCTTGCAAAAAGAGCATCTAAAAAAAATCTAGAATAGCACAAGGGAATAGAACAAGATAAGGAATGCATTAAAAAAAAAAAAAGAATCACAGAACAACCTGCAGATCAGATATAAAAATCAGTTGTCTCTTAAATCAAACAGGACCAGGGCCGATGCCAGGAAAGCTCAACACACATTACAATGAAGAACACATAAGTGCAGGAAGGGACTCATAAAACCACCAGCATGTGAAATACTGCCAAATGCTGCGCGCTTGCCAAGGAAGAGGCATCACTAGGCTGCCTTGTAAAGCGCCCCTGGTTGCAAAGTGAAGAGGCTGGGTGTTAATTAAAGTACCTAAGTCGATTCTTGAGGTAGCTGCCTGGGAAAAGGGATCCTGCAGAGAAGTCTCTTTCTCTGACAGATTTCCTTTGGAACTGTGGGTTTTCTGCAAGTGAAATTCTCCAAAACAAACACACCTCCCTGTAGACTCTCTGCTCCCCATTGCTAGAGGGCCGGCTGCTTGTGAGCAAGAGACATATTGTGCTGGTTTCTTTATTGCTGTCACACCGCATACAGGCATGCCTCGGACATACCGTGGGTTTGTTTCCAGACCACCACAATGAAGAGAATATTACAGCAAAGTGAGTCATCATCTTTTTGCTGCTTGAGGGGCTTGCCTTCAATTTGTGAAAAAATGCAACATCTGTGATGCACACTAAAGCGAGGTGCAATAAAACAACGTATGCCTGTGGAAAGGGCTGGCGTCACATGTACACCTCACAACCATCTCACAAGCTATCGAGGGCAGCTGATATTCCATTGTACAGAGGATAAACACAAGAAGTGGTGGCACAAAGGGACTTGCCCACAGTGGCAGCGAGTGGTAGAGACCATAGAAATATTTTGGACCCCCTGATCGCAAATATGGACCTCTCCTTTCCCTGTCAACGAATGACACTGAAAAATAGCCAAAGATGTGTGAGCAAAGCCCGGTGGGAATTTGAATGAGTGGCTGATGTGCAGGGCTGGGAGGGTGCATGCTCTGCTTTTTGGAACCCTATTGGCGTGGCTAAGATCAATACCATGCTTGGTGCCCAGAAGACCACGCTGGAGTGAGTCATAGGCAAGGTTCCTTATCAGACTGGTCGGCAGAGTCTGCCTTATCATACCTTGCTGTTTCTCAGGGAACTAAATCTATGTGATGCCACTTAGCTTTTTGCCTTATGTTACCACAAGGATGAACTCATTTGCCCCTTGAGCACCTGAAAACCCATGTGCTCTTTACCTCTGTTTCTAGGGTCAGGTGTTTGCCTTCCCAAAGGAGATTGAGTGCAGGTGTTGGATGCCTTTTATCATTCATTCACTCAAAAAATATTAACTGAGCCCATTATTATTGGAAAATCTGCTAAACCCTAGGGACCCAGTGGTACCCAGCAGGTGGAAGACACGGGAAGTCCCAGCCTTCATGGGACTTACAAACAAGGAGACAGAACTTGAGGTTGCTGTCAGCATTGTGAACATAATCAGCACTGTGAGGGAGTGCAGTGCGGTGGCACTGGTGGTGGTGGTAGGGGGTCCCTTTTAGATTCTGTGGTTTAGGAAGCCCTCTTGCACAGACAGTATTTGAGCTACAACCTGATTGAAGACGGGGAGCCAAATACAGGGAAAGCCCAGGGGCATGTGTTCCAAGCAGAGGGAAGACCATGGACTCAGGTCTCTAGGAGCGGAGAGAACAGAGACAGCCATGAACTGAGGGACCTGCTGTGAGGTGAGGTTGCGGGGTGGGCAAGGGTTGGAGTCATGAGAGGCCTGAAGAGCCACTTTGGGGGCCTGGGGTTAATTTTAAGTGGCCCAGTGTCTGGCCCTCAAATGTATCCCTTTCCCCCTTCCATTGCGGGCTCTTGTGTTTTAAAGACCAGCTCCATTGCTCAGCTGATAGTCTTTAAGTTCTTAATGGCACAGACCATGTGGATCACATATTGCTAATAGGGGGCTCTTAACCGTCTCCAAATCCACAAGAAGGGACCATTGAGGCCTGAGAAGTAGAGACCAAGGTCTCAATTAGTGCCTGAACACAGCAACAAGAGATGGAGGCTGTCGGCTTTGGCCTGGAGAAAGCCTCTTTAGGAGGTTGTTCCTCGCCACCTCTGCACACTTTGAATCTGGATGACCCTTAGCTAAGTATGGCCTCAATGATGTATGGCCTGGTTTGGCTCAGCTGACCTCCCTGAGCCTTAGCCTCCTCATCCCTAATTGTGCATAATACTGACACCTGCCTCACAGGCTTGCAACAAAATGGAAGGTGCTTCACCCTCATGCTTTGCAAACCGTAAGCTTTCCATCAGCTCTCGCCATTACTATTTTCATCAAAAACCCAACTCTCTTTCATGCTCTCTCCCCCTCAAACACACCTACTGTTTTCAAAATCCTGCACAATGGTTGTGTAAGCATCTGGAAGGAGGCCCTGAACTGGTACAGGGACTGACCAATGCCTACACATTAGGGGCTCTCCGTAATGGTAATTCATTCCAAGCTAGAGGCAGCAAAGGTAGAGAGGCTGCCTGCTCGTCAGCACATGGAAAAAGCCAAGACCATAGAGAGTGATCACCATCACCATCTACTGCTGCCTTCATAACAGCCAACTGCACACCCGCGGCCTTCCAGCGGGAGCAAGGAGCTCCCCAAATAGAGGAAGAGGTTTCCAAGGAGCCTATTGCCACTGTGGCTGGTGGGGGACCCAGCTGCAGCCCCCAGGACCCAGGGTACTGAGGATGAGCCAGGGGGCAGCCTCAAGAGGCCCCTTTTGAAGCAGCACCCCTGCCACAGGCCACAGCAGTGGGGAGAGCAGAGGAGAAAAAACCGCCTTCCAGTCTTAGTTAGCATCAAGCAGGGCGCTTACCTCCTTCTCCTTGGTGCAGGCTCCACAGCTCTGACAGGGGGACTCAACACTCTCTGGGCGTTTTCATTATGGTGGGGCCACTAGGGAGGGAGGCTGGGCTGCTACCGCCTCCAGTTGTCCCATCAAGGGGCGTGACANGCTGGAAGCAGAGATTGGAGTGATGTGCTTTGAAGATGAAAGAAGGGGACACAAGCAAAGGAATACAGGTGGCCACCAGATCCTGACAAAGGCAAGGAGACAGATTCTTGCCTCACAGCCTACAGAAGGAACCAACCCTGCTGTCACCTTGACCTCAGTCCAGGGAAACTGATTTTGGACTTCTCACTTCCAGAACTATAAGACAATAGATTTGCATTTTAAGCGGTTAAGTTTTTGGTCATCTGTGACAGCACTAATAGGAAACGAAGACAGCTCTATTTTATTCCTTCTCATCCTAAGTAAAATTCAACGTCACCACAATGACCTGCAAGACCCCCCACAATCTGCTCCCACCTTGTCCCTTGTGACTCTGACCTCATCTCCTATTACTCTCTCCTTTGCTCACTCTTTTGCAGCCGCTGGGCCTCCTTGCTGCTTCCCAGACACCCAGAAATGCCCCCTGTACTATGCCTTTGAGCTTTCTGTACCTGGAGTGCTCGTCTACCAAAGCAGTCAAGTGATTTGATCCTCACATCCTGGGGTGTTGTTCCACTGTCACCTTCTTAGCAACCATCCTACTTGAAACAAGAACACATCTCCTCTGCACTCCTCCATTCCTTGTCCCTCTTGCCTGCCTCATTTTTTTTCCCCCCAAAGCACTTATCACCATCTGGCAAACTCTAGGTTTTACTTATTTACTAGAATGTAAGATCTACCTTCCTCTGCTTTGTACACTGCTTTAGGCCTATCCCTTACTGTGATGCCTGCACATAGGAGGTGCTCAAAATATTTTTGTTAACTAGAAGAAATTGAAGGGAATGAGATGCTAACCCAGTGCCATGTCCAGTGTGACTTGGTATGCACGCAGAGTACGATGGCAGTGCTCCCGGGAGAAGCCTGACTCAGCTAAGCAAGGGTTTCACGGAGTTTAGGAAGAGGAGAGGCAACTGGCAAGTCCTGCCAAAGACAAGTCCTGATGTGACTTACTCAACAAGCTGCGTGTAGTGGAAGGAAGGCATGGCGAGAGGAGCAGAACATGGGTTATGGCCTTTTAATGCAGTGGCCTGATTAATTAATATTCATGGCA